GGATGATTTGATCGTAATGTAATCGATTACAGAGAGTATAATTCATATGAATCATTAAATGAGTCATTAATTACCCTAATGACTAAGCTGTTATAGCAGCTGTTGTGAACTTTTCTAAAGTTTTTTAGAAGAAAACTCCTTATTTTTATAATGGGAGAGATTGCTCTAATACTTTCAAATACTTAGTGTTGTTTTTTATTTATTATCTCCTAAATCCCAGTATAATTAACCTGAGTAATATGCCATACTCAATAAAATCCAAGTACAATGCTCTGAGTAATATACCCTGCTTAATACAATCCAAGTACAATGCCCTTACTAATATGCTCTACTAAATACAATCCAAGTGTAATGCCCTGAGTAATATTCCCGAATCAATACAATCCAAGTATAATGTCTGAGTAATATGCCCTACTCAATACAATCCATAAATAAAACAATGTATCAGTGTGTAAATTTCAAATATAAATGATTTTTCAAAACACTTTTCATATATATTTCATTTGTTTCGAATTACATTTCATATTGCCCTAACCAAAAGACTTCCGAAAAAATATGTGGGGAGTTCATGGATGGGAAAGTTTATAATTACAAATTTACAATTGACTATTGTAACATCCGGAATCTCGAAGGTCAATTATAGAAATAGATTCCCTTTTTTGGGGCCAACTAGTCGAGTTTATGGCATAAAATCGACGTGTTGGAAGCTATTGGGGCGCATATTTTTAAGGACCAACTTGTCGAGTTGGTGTAGGGAAACTCGATGAGTTGCACGCTGTTTGAGAAAACCCTAATTTAGGATTTTTCACCCTATTTAAAGAACTTAACTCCCTTTGATGGCCTCCGTACCAGCCTCCTTGTCCAGAAAACCCTAATTTCGTGTATTATCCTTCAAGTTTGAGTGTGTGAGCTTGTGGTAAGCTTGGAGAGTTGGTTTTTTGTGTTCTTTGGAAGGAATTTGAAGAATGAAGGTGCTTAGTTTGGAAGGAAGGCTTTGGATCCAGAAACTCTCCATTTGTTACAGTCCTTTTGAGGTATAAAGTCGAAACCTTGTGTTGTTATCTTCTAGATCTCTTTGTGGGATGTTTTAGCTTGATTTTTGGGTGTTTGGTTGGGTTGTCCAAAGGTTAAGGGTTTCAGGGGTTACTATGTTAGATCTGACCCTTTTATGACATCTCTTGGCATAAAGTTGCAAGCTTTGCTAAGTCCTAAGTCCCATCCATGCATTAAGTCCTTTATTAAGCCATTTTAGGATCTAGGGTTCCTTTCTTGCATGCATGGACGTAAAGTTGGAAACTTTACGTGATAATCCAGCCTTGGGATGTTAGATTTGTGTTTTGGGACTATGTTTTGAGAGTTTAAGGGCTTAATGGGTTAAGCATCACTCTATTAAGTCAAGGATTCGGGTTTTGGTTCATTGTAGTGGTTTTTAAGGGTAAAGTTGGAAACTTTACCCTTCAAGTCATCATTTGGGAAGAGATCTGAGATTGGAAGCTTCTAGATTCGATGAAAACGATTTAATGCTTTAAGTTGATTGATTCCTGGCCAACTCGGCGAGTTGATGCGAGTTTTCCCGATCTGTGCACTAAATGGAGAAACTCGACGAGTTGAAGGAAAACTCGGCGAGTTGGGTCAACTCGGACCGTTGACTTTGACTTTTGACTTATAATTAAGGGAATTATGGGCTTAGTATAAGGCCCGTATGGGGTTGGGCCATATTTTGGAAAATTCGGCCATTAGTGGGCTTTGATGGATCTACTAGTTTCTGGTATTTTGGGCTTGAGTTGTTAATGGGCCATCGGGATACAAAGTGTTTAGACTAGAAAGAATGGTTGGGCCTTAAGGCAGGGCCATGTAAGGTGTATGGGCCCAATTTGGAAAATTAGGCCATTGGTTGATTAGTGGGCCTTTGGGCCTTTTAGATTGTAGTTTGGGTCATGGGCTTGGTCAAGGCTAGGTTGGGGGTATAATGGTCCTTTTACCCCAAGTATGGAGTTGTGGTTATGGATTTGAGCCCAATTGTTAAATGGGTGTATTATTGATATTGCTAGTTCAGGAAGCCGTCAGGGCAGCAGCTATGGATTCTTCTAGTGCGCTTCTGCAGTGCGAGGTGAGTCTCCTCACTATATCCATGGGACAAAGGCACCAATTTCGTCCCATTATGTGTTATGTGGTATGATAGTTGTTCTGTGATATGTGGTATGCTAGTTGTCTCTGTGATACTTGCATGGAAGACCTCGGGGGTACCCGAGGCAGTTGGATATCAGACCATGGGGGGCGCCCATGGCAGTCCAGGAAAAGACAATAGGGGGAGCCCATGACATTCCGGATAAAGACCATGCGGGGGGAGCCCATGGCAATTACATGTATGTTGCATGATATTCTGTAGTTGTATGTTATATGGTATTTTGGGAACTCACTAAGCTATGTGCTTACGGTTTTTAGTTTATGTTTCAGGTACTCCAGTTTTCAAATGAAAGAGCTCGGGACGATTCCAGGGCACACACCACATGTTTTCCGCATTCTGTGTATTACTCTGATTTGATGATGTTTTTTCTAACTCTTGGTTCCCTTGGTTTCATGAGAAAGAAATGTATTAACGATTTATTAATCAAAAAGAAAAAAATGTTTTGCCATGATTTTTGGGGCGTTACAAGTTGGTATCAAAGCCTTGGTTTGAGGGATTCAGACATACTCTCGAGTGCGTTTGAACTCAAACTGAGGATTTGGTAAAGTTTTCAAAAGAAAAGTATTTTTTTAAGAAAAGAGTTTTCTAAAATAAGATAATGGTGTGGTTCATACAATCAGTTGAGCTCATGTAAATTTACCCGAAATACCCATACATGTTATCTGTTATGATTTTATTTATGAATCGGTGAACCGCATGCTATTTAGGGCCAAGGATCTGCTTAATTGTTGCATGATAGAATGTTAGGAGAATAGCCTTTGTATGTGTATTATATGAGCTGGTAGACTTGCATGCTAGAGCTGATTAGTCAGTGATAGATTGGATTTATATGTGTGATGCTTAGTAGTCTTGAGAGTATTGAATGCTATGCTGTAATGGGAATATGTATTGGTACCAGTAACTGCTAACTGTATGCTTTCAAAATTGTATACGGTTAGGATCTTATAGCGATAGAATAATTGATTTGGCCTTCTTTCTTGTTCCTTGTCTGGTTGTGGTTTTGAGGTACAGTCTGTTATTCGACAATCTATTTGATCCTGTTCTGTGTATAATTTGCATGCATAAGGCAGCCGGCAGTAAGGGTGGAATTTCTTACATCAGTGGTAGTGTGTAGGGTGAATGAGCAATGATAGTTTTACAGATTGGAGTGTTACTGCACGAATGCTGCTTGCTTTGTGCTTTTTGGAACTCTTGGATGATGGGAGTAAGCTACTAAGTGAATATGTCGGTATTCATGAGGTGGATGACTGGCATTATGAGGAGTTCTTCAGCAGCTGATGGCAGGGTGAGGTCGGGAACCTAGGGGGAACCTAGGAAGTGCTTCGTCGGGTTTTGTGTTGCTGTTTAGCAAGAATTAGTGCATCAGTTTAGAGGATTCAGGATGATCCTTGAGGAAAGTATGGATAGGTGTGGAAGGTAGTATTGGGCCCGTACTACTGAAAGCACAGGATTCATGCTCGAATCAAGGAAAGTCTTGGAGAATCTAAGAAGCTTGGGGAAGAGCATTCTTGAGTATGTTATGATCTTCTGCATGATTGTATTTCGGTTTGGTGATGAGCTTCCAGGAAGGAGGTTCAAGTTCTGATTCCGGCTCAGGTAAGGGTACTGATCCGATTAGTGAGCAGACACGTGAATTTATTTCGTCAGGGATTAGTTGTGGTGTTTTGAAGAAGACTCCTGTAATCTTTGGTTCGGTCAAGGAGGGGTTTTTGTAGATCTTGGATGAGTGCTTGGGAGCGTTTCGTGCTGAGGTTATGGCGATCACTAGAGCTCGCATTCTTTCTTTCCGAGAGTTTCGTGCTCGTGGAGCTCCTGCATTCGATGGATTTTGTCGCTTCAGGAGTATGGGTTGCCACAAGCATAGCAGGTTTAACTATGTCAGCAGCTGATATTGCGGGTATGTTATCTTTTGTTTTCCTTCGGTTGCTATCAGTATTTATGTTTCTTAGAGTGTTTTATTGGTTAGGGTAAGCGATATATCTGGTCCAATTCTCTAATGTTGTGGGTTATATCTTCGAGAATTGTTGTATTTATTTTACATGTCGGAAGTCATTAGTGGGATGATTGAAGGGTCATTGCTCGTATAGCAGAATCCAAGTGTTCGGTCGTATTTTGGGTGGAAGTCGAGAGCAGTTCAAGGACATTGTATGGAAGGTTTATCGTCAGGATTCAGTGGTTTTTTCTGTCATGTTGATTGACCATTAGGAACGACTAGGGAGGTGGTCCATTGTTGAGGTTTTGGTCTTTGTATCAGTTTTAAGGGTTGCAAGTGTTGGATATTGTATTATTTTAAGTGTTTGAGATCATTAGTGTTGTCGGGATTCGGGAAGTGTTCATCGGATCTTCAGGGATTGTGCACTACTTGAAAAACAGCCTTTTACGACGCGCAATGCATGTCGTAAAACGCTCAGACGACGCGCAAATGTGTGTCAAGGAAGGCCCTGTCATAACTAGAGACGACACGCTTTTGCGCATCGTCTACAGATGACGCGCATTTACGACGCGCATTTATGACACACATTTACGACGCGCAATGCGTATCAAGGAAGCCCCTATCATAAAGGAAGACGACACGCATTTGCATGTCGCAACCTTATGACACACGTTTAGGACACGCACTGCGTATCATTAAAGCCCCTGTCATACATGAAGATGACATGCATTTGCGTGTCATAAACTTCAGCAACCATTTACGATATACATTTACGACACGTCTTTACGATACTCATTTACGCATAATACAAAAATATGGAAACAAATATATACCAAAACAATAATTTCATCCATAACATCATGTCAAAAAATTATAATACATTGGTATTAAGGGGATCCGATTGTACATTGTTATTAAGAGGTTTCCCTAACTATATAACCTAATACTACATTGCTATTAAGGAACATCTTCTTGTTTCTACTTGTTATTGTTATGCTTCTGTTTCCACATGATACCTGTTTTCATCATCAACACATTAGTATTCAGAAAGGCTTCAAGCATCATCAATCTATGTTATAAAATATTAAAATTTAATACACATGTAGTAACATACCTTTTTCCAAGAATCCAAGCTTCAATACAAGCCCATACCTATATAAAATATTAAAATTTAATACACATGTAGATTATAAAAGTTAATATGAAATAGTGCTACTTTCCCAAAAACAAAAGCAACACTTTCTATTCTATTATTTTATACTGCTTCAGTTAACTTAATATAAATAAAAAAGAATCAAATATAAAATATGAAAGTGAAAGTGAACAAGGGGACATACTTACTTTTAATAAAACACGAAAAGAATGTGGGTGTGTTTGTGTAATCTTATATATATATCTCTGTATCTATAAAACTAGCTTCATCAGCTACTGCTCTCTCTATTGTTGATTTTGAACATTTAGAACCCGACCATGAACCCTACAAAGTTAACAAAAGTAAATACATAATTCATAAAAATAAAGATATACATAATAAAAAAATAATACTAAAGATATGAAATACCTCACTCCTAGCAATAGCTCTCTCCATTGCTACATGTAGAGCCTTTGTTTCCTGATCAGAATATAATAACATTCAGAGTTTCAGACCCCAGCAATAAGAGATGAAGAAATGTCATGGAAAAAAAAGTGAAAAAGAAATTCAATGAATAATTGAGGAAGTAGATCTTACATACAACATAAAAACCACCAACCACCATGGAATTGATGCAGCTTCAAGAAATTTTCTTGAAGCAACCCCTTGGAAGATGTGAGGTGTGAAAATTCGGTTCTTTAGTAATAGTCATAGACAGATTTCCTTGTGATGTGGACCTTGGAGCAAAAGTTGCTCTAGTTTTGTTCACTGCCACCTGCCACCTCATCACCGGTTAATTTAATAGATTTCTCCTTTATTACACCCAATTGCTGACCTGGCCTCCTTATCTTCTTCCTTGGTGAAGCAACCCTGCATATATAGTTATCCATTCAGAAAAGATTTTAGTGTTTTCAAAAAAAGAAAAAAAATAGTTACCCTTCAGGTTGTGGATGGATAGAAGGTGATCTTGTCATTAAACTGGCTTTGGGTCTTTGTTGTGTTGTATTAGGAACTGGTTTTGATCCCACTTGCATCCTTTTTTTATAAGACTTATATCTTTTGTAACCTCTTTCTCATGAGCATGAAGATTAAGCTTTCTCTCTAATATGGCTTCTTTAAGAATCCATCTTTCCTAAAAGAAACCAATATCACATCATAAATGATTAAAGAATAATCATTTATAAAGTGAAGTAGAACTGAAATTGCAAAAACAAATGCTTACATCGGTTCTTAGCCTAAAAGGCTTGACATTAGTAGGTTGTGGTTAAACTATAAAACAGGGACCATACCAAATCGTTGTCAGGACCAGGCACCAACACATTAATTTCACTAGACTTTGCAGTTGTCATAGAAGCCTCTAAAGAACCCTTGCTCAACTAGAGCTGGCAACCTGCTGAGTTGTCCACTGAAATGTGTAAAAAAACTATCAGTGAAATAAGAGAAAATCATATTCATACCTGTTTATAACCAGGGAGCACCTATGAAACATCATTGTGTAGCTCCTAGCTTCTAATTTCCTATAAGTGTAAATCAAAATAATAAGCTAAATAGTAAATATGCATCAAGCCAAGGGAAAAAGGTGGAATTTTTAATACCTGACTTAGGAGCTTTGGTATTTCTATTGTTGAAAATGTGATCTCATGCATAGGTCTACACTATCCCAGTTTAAAAGATACATTTAGTTAGATGATTGTGTTCAAAAGCTAATAAGTAGTAATCAGTTGGAAAACTAAAAAGTCAGTTAATTAAATCACTTTGGGAAAAAATCATCTTGAATAGAAGAATACAAGCCAACAAGAAGATAAAGGTGAAATGACTTTTTAGTGGAATGGGATGTCATAAGGAAGGACATATCAGTAAATTTACACCATTTTAACTATAAATTATAAGTTAAAATGTATTACCTAGAAAATACTATAGTTGAATTTACATCATTGTCTACATAACTGTCCTGATGTCTAGTGGCTTTAAGTGTAAGCCCTTCAAGGTTCTGTGCTGAACCAAAAGATAGGGGTGCACTCTAAGGAATATATTGAAGAGGTAAAAAAGAAAATTAAATTAGAAAATAAAGATAATTGACATTTATCTTTTTTGAAATCAAACAACATTCAAACTATCAGCATGTAATAAGAGTCACATATATAAAGATGATAATCAAGCATGGAAAGAATAAGCAGAAAATAACACATATAATTGTTTTATGTCAATACTCGTTTCTGTTGTTATATGGTGAAGGACTCTGAGCATCTTCTTTCATCGAGGGTTACATATTGTCCAAATCAGGTGTCTTCCCATCTGAGGCAGGATGAACCTACATAAGATATTCCTTGCGTAAGAGAGAAGTGACATCAAAAGATTATCAAGAAAGCTACCTGCAGATTTTCAAGAAAGGGTCGGATAATCTTTATGTGTTCCTTCAACACATTCATAGCCATATAGAATCTTTATGTGTTCCTTCAACACATTCATATCCACAGAGAATCAAAGGACATTAACTACTAGCAGATGTCATTCTCAGAAGTCAGAACTCTAGGTAACCGAAGGCCAAACCTCAACTAAAACACCAACAAAACACCACATGTTCAAGACTACAAAACAAATTTGTCTTCCAAGAATCCAAGCCAAAGGGCAAAAAAAAAACCCAACTACAGGTGAAACTTCAACTATTCAAGGGAAATGGAATAATCGTCCTTGTCTTTGGCTGATCGGCTCTCCCTACATAAAATAAAAATCAAATATTTAGAATACATAATAAAAGGAAAAGAGATTGTAGATGAATGATGATAGGAGATGGAGATTCAATTTTTGATTTATCATTTACATAGAAAACAAAACACAAACTAAATGGTTTTTCTTTTTTGTTACCGTTGCTTTGCAATAAAATGGCCAATCGATGCCTATGTACTTCGATATTTGCACGAAGAATGTAGTTAAACACCCAATCAATACTACGCAACAAAATCTCCTAAGAGATTTGTCTCGCCGTCTTCTTTATTAGGCCCCGATAATGTTGCCTTCCTCTTTCTCATTTTTGGTTTACCGTATTCAAGCCAATCAGATACGAAATTGGGGGCTTTGAGCACAGTGGGCTGAAAATATCACATATAGCTACCGGACCAGACCAGACTTACATTATGCCACCTCAGGAATGATGCCCCCGGCCATTGCCCAACCTGCCCATGCCCTGGGCCGGGCCTGGTAGTCATAGTAGATGGAGTAGGGTTGACAGGAGGTGGATCCAGGACTTAGAACCCCAATCGCCAACATCGTGAGTGTAAGAAGTCGCAGTCGTCAGCATAGGCGTGTGTGAGCGTAAGGAGTCTCCGACACTGTGAGGATGAAACTTGATTAATTTTGTGGACGTCTCCTATAAAAGCCCTAGCTGGTTGATGGAGGCGTTGATTGTTGATGATGAAGGGCCGGTAGGGTTTCATCAATTTCGAGTGTGGTAGTACCAGGTGGGGGAGGATAAGATAGCTTCGAAGAGGGTCACAAATTTGGAGCAAGGAAGAAGGAAAGGGTAAGAAGACATCGTTGCGAATTGACGGTGTTTGTGTCTAGGGTTAGAGAGAAGGAGGAGGTAGAGAATGGCTCTCTGTGGGATTTTATGAGAGATAAAGGGAGATTACTTCAAAATTTTAGAATTTTCTAATTTTAGAGGATCCCTCTTTAAAAACGCGCGTTTAAATGAAAAAATATAAAGTGACATTTGTAGACAACACCCATTTAATTTAGGTGCCCTTTGTGTTTGTAATTTTTTTTGTGGGACAATAATTTTAGGGCAAGCACAAATTTGTGTCCTCTATCCTTCAAAATTTGGAAGGCTGACATAATTTGTAAGGACACACAAAAATGTGTATCGTAAAATAACGAGTGTCATTATTCGCGCGTCATTAAAGGGTATTTTTCTTGTAGTGGTGCAGTCTTTTGGGTTGGTTAGTGGTGGAACACTTGCATTGGTAAACGTTGGTTGTCAGCAGATTGTTAGGGGGTAAGAAGGGATCATAATCCTTCAATTCTCATATGTCGTGAGAACATAATCAAATCAAAGTGGGGGGAAATCGTTCAGGTATCCAGGAGCAGGAGTGGTTATGAAACTAGGATGAGTTTCGCGTCCCTGTCGGGGAGGAAGCCGGCCCAAGTGGCTGTTTGGTTTGAGGGTTCTATGAGTTGGGAGTTCGGTAAACTTCCCAACATGTGAATCGCGTCCTCTTGGTGCTTGATAGCAGGATTTAGGGAATCAGGTTGGGGTTCCAGTCATGAATTGAGTTCAGTTTGGGTGTTCGGTCGAGTGCGTGCTCGACTTTGGGTATGTCAGATCGGATTAATCAGCAGTAAGGTCTTGTATAGTTGTGGTGGGGAAAAAGTGTTGTAAGACTGCGGGGGAAGCCGTAGCATTCACGAGTGATCAGTTAAGGCGAGAGTGTTGTAAGACTGCGGGGGAGCCGTAGCATTCACTAGTAATTAGTTGGGGCGAGTGTTGTAAGATTGCGGGGTGGCCCTAGGCAGCGGTAATATGGTGGAAAATCTGTAATTGCTCTTGGATTTCTTCGGTAAAATGGTATCATGGGAAGTGATTGGGATCATCTGATTGGTTAAGATTACAAGAGTATTCTTCTGGATTTCCACAGCTGAGTGATCATTGTGTTTGGCTAGCAATGGGGCGCTTGTATTGTTCAGCGCAGGATTTGGGCGGTTTTGTGCTTATTGAGGGAAATGGATCGGAGATCCATAAGGTTTAAGAGGTGAAAGAGCATCGTCAAGTCCAAGTGGGGGAGAAATAAGTGGTTGCTTAGGCCTAGGTTGTGTTGGTAGGAGTTCAGGAAACTCCCAATCACAGGTTGGCATTGCCTTGATTATGCATAGTAGGCAGTGGGGATTCGTAGGCGTGACCCGAACTCCTGCTGGGATACAGGATTCGGCTCAAGAGGTGGGACGTTGTGATGGTTTGAGTGTGGTGAGTCCATGGGTGGTAAGCATGGTTGGATGGAAGTAATGTACGGTTGAGATACGATCGTAGCATTCATCGGTTCGAAGTAGATTATTTATGTGATGGTCATGAGCATGGAAGGGGAATCAGTTCGTGCCTTGGGCACGCCGGCCAGGGTTGTCAGGTAATTATTCTCTATTCCAGGTTGAGGGTCTTTGGGGTCCGCGGGCAAGCCCGAGTGATTATGAAACTTCAGGTTGGAACTGGAAGAGACTGTTGAGTCAAGGGTTTAGATCTTGAGTTGCAGGACATGCGGGTAACCAGTATGTGACGCATAGGGGTTTAGGCTGGGTGGACTAGTTTTTGGACTCCTGGGAACTTGGTGGTTGGACCAGGTGTGAGAGTGGAAGCCTCGGAAATGGTTTGGGTATACCGATTTATCATTTAGGTAAAAGGGTTGGTAATCAGAAGGTTGTGGTGTGAAATGTAGGTGCAGATTCGTAGATTTTGGGTTACAAGTGGGGTATCGAATCTGTTTTGGGTAAAATCTCGAGTTCGGATCGCGCACGTTCTATGCAGCGTTTTGTTTTAGTGTAATAAGAATTTCGGGTGTCATTATGCCGAAGGCATCAATCGCAGGATTCAAGAGTAAGGAATGGGGTTAGTATGATGGAAGATGAGCCATTATGGTGTGTCTTCTGATGGTAATATCTGTGGAGGGACCACAACATGTTCGGAATCAGGAGAAGTGGATTTGATGGTGGGGTGTTGTGGAGCAGTTTTCGTCAGTCGAGATCTTCTTCCGGGAATCGTGTGGGGCTACTGTGTGTTTTTGAGTCTTTTAGCCCAGAAATCAGGTAGGAGTCCGGTGTTTCGAGTAGTTGACAAATAAGTTTGGATCAGGGAGGTCTCGGCTGCTTTTGGAAAACAGCAAGTGGCAGCAGGATGAGTCGGAGTGGTTTCAATGATTTGGGATTCCTGTGTGGAGTCGCTTGTTATTCGGGGTATATGCTAAGTCATTTGCAGTTGGATTAAATTATCTCAGAGTGGTTGATTAGACCCTATTGCGGAACTCTCATCTGAGTTTAACCGTTGCATGGATGAATATTCTACTCGAAGTATTATTTGAGCCCTCTGTCGGGTATAAGTTTTCTATAGCTGTATATGATCGGTGATTTTGTTATGGAATTAGTTTGATAGTGGTTCAGAGGGGGTGAGCTATCAGGAAGTTAGATCAATTTGAGATTGCGGGTATCAGGAAAGGCAAAGGGGGGGTTTTTCTACAAGAATTTGAGGTTCATTCTGCCAGGGTTGATTCCAGTTGCCCTGGGAAGATTATTTTGTACGCTGAATTTTCGTTTATGATCATCTGGTTGGTTGTTTTGTTCTGAGTGTTAATAAGGAGCGATTTCGAGGAAG